AAACCGCCAATTATCTTTGGCCTTCTTCTTCAATGACAGACCTCCTTCTGTAACTAGTTTCCTGCCCCAAAAATTGCAGCGGAAGGTTTTTTATTTATTTATAGTAAACCTATCTTCTCAGTTGTCATTTATTGTAAAGGTGACACTCTCAGCATAAGCCAGATGTGTCTCTATAAGGATAGCTTTTTTTGAAATAATTTTTATTTGATTTTACAAGTATAAAATTATAACAAACAATCATCTACATCCACATTTAAAGATTCCTCCAAATCTCTGGACTTCCCACCTTCCCCTCCATGGGTCCTGTTGTCCACCTTTTCTACTGCATATTTTCCAGTAGTCCATATTTTATATAACTCCATTATTTCCATATTACTTGCTACATTACAAGTGTCCTTGCAATCTTGCTAATATTTTCATCTGCTTACACTGGTCTCCAAGATAAATTACCATTTATTCCCCCCCCCCCAATTATTTGTTGAAGTTTTGGTCTTCTTTGTTCCTGAGCTTTCTGGTCAGTTTTGCCATTTTGGCATAGTCCAACAATTTAATTTGCCATTCTTCTCTGATAGGGATTTTATCTTCTTTCCATCTCTGAGATAATAACATCCGTGCGGCTGACGTCGCGTACATAAAAAGTCTTTTCTGCTCCCTTGGAATGTCTGCACCTACAATTCCTAATAGAAAATCCTCTGGTTTTTTTTTAAAAAAAGGTTAATTTAAATATTTTTTAAAAAATTCATTATATCTCATTTCCCAGAATGCTTTTAATACTTTACAAGGCCACCACATATGCTGAAAGGTGCCTTCTTTTTCTTTACATTTCTAATAGAAATTTGTACCTGTCCAATACATTTTTGCTAACTTACTCGGAGTCAGATACCATCCGTACAAGGATAGCTTTCATAGAGTAAGGTTTGTTGATTTGCATCGTTAATCGCAGTGCAGTTTTACTATTTGGTTTTAATTCTACAGTGGTACCTCGGGTTAAGTACTTAATCGTTCCGGAGGTCCGTTCTTAACCTGAAACTGTTCTTAACCTGAAGCACCACTTTAGCTAATGTGGTTAGCTAACTTTAGCTCTTGCTGCTGCCGCGCCACCAGAGCACAATTTCTGTTCTCATCCTTCTGGGTTAGCGGAGTGTGTAACCTGAAGCGTATGTAACCTGAGGTACCACTGTATTTGAATCACCAGTCGTGTTTGGGAATACTAGGGATTTTCCAGTTTGGTATGTGACCTAGCTAGGCTTCTTGTGCTGGGCCCGGGGGTAACCCATGAAACGCAGTCCAGGACCAGTCCAGAATCTGAAGGTTCCTCTAGGAGTCAGTCCAACAGGGCCAAGGCAGGACACGAGGCAGGAAACCAGGCAAGGACAGATACAGGATCTCAGGCAGGGTCTGGCATACAGCAATGTTGCTCCCACAACCTGGGGTGGGGTCCGACAGCCTTTTATCTTTGTCAGGGTAACGGCCGGTCCTGATCCCCCGGTGACTCACATCCCTGTTTCACCCGAAGGTGAGCACTCCTCCTGCGAGTACTCAGGTCTCTACTTCTCTCAGACCTTAGTCTCTGCAGCTCGGGAGACGTCAGTGGGTTACTAGACCCAGAGGCCGCCTCAGCCTCCCCTGACCAAACCGGTAGTGGAGCAGCTGTAAGTGATGGCCCAGCTGAAGGCAACAAGGTAATCCCCGCATCTGGAGCCAGGGCAGGCTCAGGCCCCTGACTTGGCCCAGCTGGTGTTTGTTGCACGGGAACCTGTGCAGACTGGGACTCTTCAGGATCAGGCCCCAGACTTGGTTCAGATGATGCCTGAGGCAAAGGATCTGGTGCGGACTGAGTCTCCTCTGGTTCCGAGTCTGAGCCCGAGTCCCAGGCCATCACACTCCTAAATCTGGGATGGGGAGCCTGTGGTCCTCCAGGCATTGTTGAACTACAATTCCCATCAGCCCCAGTGAGCATGGCCAATGGGCAGGGGTGATGGGAGCTGCGGTCCAACATCTGAAGGGCCGCAACTTCCCCATTTCTGTCAGAATCCACGTCCCCCTTTTAGAGCTGCAATTTCCACAGTGGTTTAACAGTCGATGCCTCTTCCCAGGGAACTCTGGGAATTGTAGCTCTGTGAGAAAATAAGGGTCTCTTAAGAAACCACAGCTCCCAGAATTCTTTGGGCGAAGCCAGGGCTGTTTAAAGTGGCATCGCAGCATTTTACATGGACGGTGTGAATGGTGGCCTGAGGCAAAGTGTGAGAATTGTTGGGATCTGAGAAGGCAAGAAAGGTTGAGATCTTGCGAGAGATTGAGTTTCTCTTTGTCAACGGCTCTGCTATAACTGTTACCTGATTATCATATCGAGATTTAGCAGGCCCACATTTGAGAACGATTGGCTGCGCTTGAAGAAGTGTGTGTGTGTTGCAACTTGAACTCGAGACCTGCCAGTGTCAGAGATAGTGAGGGACCAAAAGAAGACTGTACAGAACGTGCCCTTTGTGTATTTGCTTGTCTTCTCCTTTTACAGCTCAGGTTCTTTCCTTATAGCTTCTGTTATCCCTCACCATTGGCCACGCTGCCCGGGGCTGAGGAGAACAGCAGTGTGAAGCAAGAATTGCAGAGCAGACCAGATGGCACAGATATTTAACTACTTTCCACCCCTCAGTTTGCTGACTGAGGCAGCGGCCTCACTCTGCCTCATGACCCCAGTGTGAAATATATGGAGGGCACCAGGTTGGGGAAGGATGCACCGGACTGACCTGGTGGAATTTCCCTCCGTGTCTTAATGCTTTGATATCATTAGGAGAGCTTTTTGCTTAGGTTCCCTATTAGCATAGCTGTCAACTTACAGATTTGAAAATAAGGGACCAGCAGCCTCAAAATAAGGGATCAGCAGCCAAAATAAGGGATTTTAGTCAACCAGCTCATTTCCTTTCCCCCATAACAGTCAATCGAAGGAGCCTCCAAAACAAATCCAAAAGCCCCCCTCCCACGAGATTGCCGCCCGCCATTGTACTCAACCAGCTCCTTTCCTTTTCCTCCACCATGTGCCCCCGCTCCAGACAGACCTTTTCCCCGGCAAGGGTGAGTGGGCCGTCGATGACGTATCCATCCAATTCCGAGCACAGGTATGTTCAACTTCTGAGCCCCTTTGAGCCAAAGGCAGAAAGCCCAGCCAGCAGCCAAATGAAGCCTCAAGTGGTGGTTCCCACAGTGCAGCAACCTGGCAAAGGGGATGCAGCAAGGAAAACCACCGTCACCTCTCCGCTGGGAAGCGCTGAGCAAAGGCGAGTCCACAGGCAACGCGGCCGGGCACAAGGCATGCAAGCTCCACCCCCAGTCGTTCTTAGACTCCTTATTGGGTGAGCAATGCAGCCAAGCAGCACGGTTGGAGCTTCCCTCCTCTCTGGCCGGCAGGGAGGGAGGGAGAGGAGCTGCTTCCTTTGAAACCCGGGAAATTTAAGGGTCATCATCAATAAGGGACAGCAGTGGGACACGGCACTGGGATAAGGGACTTTCCCGCCAAATAAGGGACGGTTGACAGCTATGACCATTAGCGAAAGTAGCTACAAAGTGGTTAGTGTTGATTATAAAGAAGAGAAGAGGGACATCAGGACCAGGGACTGAATGCGGCCCTCAAAACTGCTCTACCTGGCCCTTGGAATTCCCAGGCCACAATCCTCACTTGCTTTACTTCACCCCCTGAATGTTCTTGCCTGGCTAGAATGTGTATCCTTTAATTCTGCCAATGCATCTTCCTGCCTGGATGGGGAGGAACAACAACAACATATTATTTACCCCACCCATCTGGTTGGGTTTCCCCAGCCACTCTGGGTGGCTCCCAACAGAACAACAACAACAACAAAACAACAACAAAGCAATAAAACATCAAACATTAAAAATTTCCCTAAACATGGCTGCAAGTCCCAGGCCGTGACTTTAAGCTGCAGGAAACAGGTAAGAGGTGTTCAGGAATTCATTAAAAAAAATAATTTTATATGTTGTGTGTCTTTATTTCTCAATTTGATCCTTTTTACATGGTTTTGTATGTGTTGTGGTTTTTTTATGCATTGTGACTTGCAGCTATTTTTATTGATCCTAGTCTAGTAATTATTTACTGTAATTGTTAAGTGTGAATTTCCATTTCATTATTATTTGCTGATGTTTTGAGAGTCAACTTTATTGTGTGCTCTTACATCCTAATAGATCATTAGATATGACTTTCCTTGATACGAGTCATTCCATTTTAAAGTTATGTTTTATTATGACTTGTTGTATTGGATCGGATTATTATAAGGTGTGTGTTCTTTGTTGTATATTTTGTTGCCGTAAACGTCCTTGTGTGCAGTAATATAGAAAGGCGGTACACTGGTAACTCGGGTTAAGTACTTAATTCATTCTGGAGGTCCGTTCTTAACCTGAAACTGTTCTTAACCTGAAGCACCACTTTAGCTAATGGGGCCTCCTGCTGCCGCCACACCGCTGGAGCACTATTTCTGTTCTCATCCTGAAGCAAAGTTCTTAACCCGAGGTACTATTTCTGGGTTAGCGGAGTCAGGTTACATACCTGAAGCGTATGTAACCTGAAGCGTATGTAACCTGAAGCGTATGTAACCCGAGGTACCACTGTATACAAACTAAAAGTGAAGAGTAAGGAAAGGGAGGGGTATAGGCAGAAGCAAGCCTAGTGTACAAAGGTAGAATTCACACTCATTGCCCTACCCACTTTTGCTTCTAGCCCCACCCACCACTGGTAAATGGCCCTCGAAAGCTTGCTCAGAAGAGAATGTGGCCCTTAGATTGAATGAGATTCCCCAGCCTTGACATAAAGCATAGAGGGTGAGACCCACAGGTGTCCCATTGATTCCCTTGATGATCAATTTTCTGCCTTCTCTCTCGTCTCCCCCTCTGGCAGAGGTCAGTAGGTCCTTTCTGGCTTCATATTTTTTTTAAGCGCTCATTAAGTCTGACGGGGCTCTCGGCTGGCTGGCACAGTGCACTTAAATATCAGAAGTGAGAGCTGGTCTGCCTTGACTTCTTGCCGGTGTCAGTCAAAACTCATTTGACAACGGAGTCCTGTCTTGAGGAGGAAAGGCTGGTCGCTGGTTGTTCCTTGACCGCTCTTTTAATAAAACCGCTTGTTCAGAATCAGAGACCTGAATTAGGAGGGAAGACAAGACAATTTGCAATGTGGTGGAAAAGGAAACTTCTGTCTTCTCATTCGCAGACTGGTAGGACTTTGCTTTCATTGTGATGTGTGTTTTAGACCACAATGTAAATATTTAGAACCTAACCTATAAATTGTTTTAGCTGGTTTTAATCTTGTAACCTGACCTGGGACCTTACGTTGAAGGGTGCAAAATACCACTACTGGTGATGATGAAGATGAAGATGATGTGTGCTGTCAACCTGGGTTGTTTCTCAAACTAAGTAACACAGTTTGCTCTCTCAATGAATTTGCTAACTCTAATAGGACCAAAGAGCTCCCTGTTCTGTTCTAATAGCCCACTCCAAGGATGTTCAAATGCAATTCTGTATTTGGGACTTAGATGGGCAAAGGAGGAGTGGTTTATTATAGGAAGAAGGGTTTAAGGAAATAAGGAGTTTTGGTCTGAAGCTACCATCAGGATGAGCACGCCAGAAGAGATATAAAGAAGTGAAGAACTGAAGGAGATGTTGCTAGGAAGTCTAATATTGTTGCAGAGTTATTGTCGTGTTAGACTTGTTATTTGCCTGTTCAGCAAAGGTTTCCAAGTGACGTACAACATTTAAAAACATAAACAAAAAAATCATTAAAACGTTAACAGATTATGACAAAACTTTGGCAAATCCCCTTTTGGATAGGAGTGGAGGTTAACAGCACAACCCTATTCATGTTTACTCAGAAATAAGTCTCATTTTGTTCAACAGGGCTTACTCCTGAACAAGTGTACTTAGAATTGCAGCCATAATGAGTTTGTGTCAGTTTTGATACTGAATATTCTTTGGCTATGACTTGAAAGTGTGAATATTTATGTTGTGAACTGCCCGGTGATCTTCGGATGAAGGATGGTATGCAAACTTTAACAACAACAACAACAACAACAGGTATTTAGTTCCAGAAATTGATGACTAATTATTTCTCATTAGGAATCAACACTGGGCAGTATCTGACAACTGATTGTAATAAATAAACTTTTGTTGGATTTCATCCATTGATTGACCCAATCAGGGAATGTTCCCTTGGATGGGCCAGACCGGGCTCAGACTGTCATGTTTTGCCTCCAGAGGTAGAATAGGAATGTGCCGTCCCCCCTTGCTGCTCCCCACCAAAGCCCCACTTAATGGGGTCACATAGCAGCTGCAACTTCCGGTAAAATCCTGCAAGGTCTTGCGGGAGCTGTTGTGAGATCTTGCATGAGCTCATCAAGATCTCATGAGAGTTCTGTGAGATCTCGAGAGTTCTCGCCGGAAGCCGCCACTGCATGACCCCAGTGGTGGTGGCAGGGGTGGGCAGGGTCCACACTGAGAGCCAGTGTGGTGTAGTGGTTAAGAGCGGTAGATTCGTAATCTGGTGAACCGGGTTCACGTCTCCGCTCCTCCACATGCAGCTGCTGGGTGACCTTGGGCTAGTCACACTTCTCTGAAGTCTCTCAGCCTCACTCACCTCACAGAGTGTTTGTTGTGGGGGAGGAAGGGAAAGGAGAATGTTAGCCGCTTTGAGACTCCTTCGGGTAGTGATAAAGCGGGATATCAAATCCAAATTCTTCCTTGCGGGGGCACCAACCCATAGGATTCTGCCACTTGAGTTGGTTGCTTCAGTCTGCCTCATGAGTGGGTCAACCGTAGACCAGACAACACAAACACCTGGATTTCAAATGATGGTGCTGAATTTTTATTTAGAAGTTTGGCTGACAGATTTTAGACACTGGGTTTCAAAATCAAAATCTGAATCATGAAATTTGATAACTGGGCAAACCCTGTTTCATGTCTAGGTGAAGAATACAACAGCCTCTTCTGCCTCATTGATTCCATGACTTGATTGTGTACTGCTTATTGTAAAAGCACCTAGTCTAGAGGTGAGTTGGAGAATGATTCATTCCAGAAGCTTCTTCAGCTTTGGAGAAGCAGATTTAAGATTTCACCAGGACCAGGACTGTGGCTGATGGGTTCTCCAGATATCCATGGGCTTTGGGCAGGGAAGTGACCCCATGCCTGGTCACATGGCTGTTCTCAGTCCAATGATGGTGAAGGTCTTCTTTCAGCTCGCATTACCATCAGCCTTTAGAATGGGAGTTGAGCATATGCTCTGGCCACTTGGGGAAAGACTCTGGCCTTGCATGCCAGAGGTCCCAACTTCAATCTCTGGAGAAAGCTCCTTCTGGAAGCCTTGAAGAGCCACTGCCAATTGGTGTCAATTAGCGGTGGCTTGCCAAGTCAATCTTGACCAACTAGGAGGGTCTGATTTGGCCCGTGTGGCCATTTCCTGCAAAACCATGCTCACCCATCATCTGACATCACTGCTCCCCACTTCCGTCAGTGCCGGATTAACAACTAGGCAGAGTAGGCACTGGTTTATAGGCTCCCCACCTTTTAGGGGCCCCACGACAACAGATCAAAATAATATGGCATAATAGAATTGGTTTATTAAAATTGTTGGTTGGTAAAAAAATGTATTACCAACCAACAATTATCTAGGGGATAAGGGTTCATCAGTAAAGACCTGGTTATGTTTAGAATGATACTGCATAGGGAAATGTTCCCTGATACTAAGATGAGGGATTCTATGGAATGCAGAGAGAGAATTGAGAAGAATAATGATCTGTTGTGACCTTGACGGAAGCGTACAATAGACGAGCCTTCTTGTGTTTTGGCTCATTTCCTCCCTTCCTTCTCCTCCTCCTTTTTCCTTTTTCTTTTTTCTTTCTCATAATGGCTTATGTTCTATGCCATGTACTTTGATATTTTTTGTAGTTTCTTAGCCTTTTCCATTATTATTATTATTATTATTAAGGATTTTTTCTTTTGTAATTTTGGTTGTTTATATTTATCTGTATTTGTTTAAAGCAAAACAAAAATTACTAACATAAAATAAAATAAGATAAGATAAAATTGTTGGTTGGTAAAAAAATGTATTGGGAGATAATATATGCGAGCCTTACCCCCCTCCCCTCCCCACTTTCGAATGCCTAGGGGCTTCCACAGGGTTTAATCTGGCACTGCCGCCCATTGCAACATTTGCACACAAGTGCATCACAAATGAAAAAGGATTTCAGGCAGACGTCCAACTTCAAACCAAGAGGTGTGGATCATATCGCTGGGATTAAGTGGGCCAGAGGGAGGCTCCCAGGCAGCCAACCGCCTATTAAGAAACCAGGCTCTAAATTTTTCACACGGAATGACTTAATCTGTCTGAGGTTGCACTTTTGTTGTGTTCTTCAGTGTAGGTCCACTCTGCGAAGGGACTTTCCTCTTATCGGTTTCAAAGGCTTGAATTTCTCCTCATTGCTTCCTTTTCTTTGAGTAGGGGCTTGGGTTGCTAATCTCCCCATGACATTAGAAGCCCCATTTTGCCATTGTCTCCAGAGGCCTTTTCTTCTGGGGGACGGCAAACGTGGGTAACTGTATCGCTCTCCTCTTATTTCTGGAGTCTGGCTGCAAAGTGGCATAATGTTCTTTTATCATCTTTCCAAACTCTTACTTTAAATCCAGGCTGGGGAGGGACTCCTATTTCCCAACCAGGTCTACGATTCCCAAAGCGGTTTAAGAGCCACTTCCTCTTCCTAGGGAACTTTTGGAATCATAACTCCAGGAATAGAAGGCCTCCTAACACCCCTAACCCCACATAACAAACTGCAACTTCCGGAAGTCTTTTGGGGAAAACCATGACTATTTAAAGAGATATCACAGGGCTTAAAATGTATGGTGTAGCTTAATAATAATAATAATAATAATAATAATAATAATAATTTATTACAGTGGTACCTCAGGTTAAGTACTTAATTTGTTCCGGAGGTCCGTTCTTAACCTGAAACTGTTCTTAACCTGAAGCACCACTTTAGCTAATGGGGCCTCCTGCTGCTGCCGCGCCACCGGAGCACAATTTCTGTTCTCATCCTGAAGCAAAGTTCTTAACCTGAAGCACTATTTCTGGGTTAGCGGAGTCTGTAACCTGAAGCATCTGTAACCTGAAGCATATGTAACCCAAGGTACCACTATATTTATACTTTGCTGATCTGGCTGGGTTTCTCCAGCCACTCTGGGCGGCTTCCAACGGAATATTAAAATACAATAACCTATTAAACATTAAAAGCTTCCCTAAACAAGGCTGCTTTCAGATGTCTTCTAAAAGTCTGGTAGTTGTTTTCCTCTTTGACATCTGGTGGGAGGGCGTTCCACAGGGCGGGTGCCACTACCGAGAAGGCCCTCTGCCTGGTTCCCTGTAACTTGGCTTCTCACAGCGAGGGAACCACCAGAAGGCCCTCGGCACTGGACCTCAGTGTCCGGGTAGAACGACTCAAGGTCAGCATGGTGCAAATGGATCAGGCCAATGGCCCATCTAATCCACACATGCTATGATTTACTCCTGAGTAAACATGCTTGAGGATTGTGCTGGAAGTGAACGATTGCAGCTTTCTCCTCCGCTGTTTTGGAGAATTCGCGTCGCCCTGCCTCACAGTGAGCTCGGCTTCAGCGAGACACCGCTCTGAGCGCAAGCTGGCCTCAATTTCCTTCTGCCCCGGAGACAAGGTTAAGATGACAGGAGAGAGGATAGAAACCATAGCCCCCCGAGGTGGCCCGAGCCTCGCTCCCTGTCACCCTGTGTTTGCTTGATCCGTGTGGCAAAGCCTGCTCCAATTTGCCACAATGCCTCCCAGCGCAGAGAGCAGGCGGAGAAACAGACACTGTGGCACGATGATCAGACAGAGACAGGGAACAGAGAGAGCCAAGGCTGCCTTGGGTGCCGCAGGATATGTGACAGGAAGATGACAGCCCCTTGGTTGAGGAATGCCTTACATTGTAATAAGGGCAATAGACAAATTCACGGAGGAGAGGGCTACTAGCCAGGATGGCTACTCTCCCCCGATAGACTTCCCATGGGGACATCTGCTTGGCCACTGTGATGACAGTGCTCTGGACCAGATGAACCTTTGGTCAGATCCAGCACAGTTCTTCTTAGTGTGGTGTAGTGGTTAAGAGCAGTGGACTCATAATCTGGTGAACCGGGTTCGCTTCCCCGCTCCTACACATG